AGACCACCAAAGCAGCAGGATGTGATCTGCCCCATTGAAAAAAGGTACTGAGCCACATGGCTAACATAGATCACAAAAAATGTGTTAATCAAGATGTGAGAGTTAGCCAGTGAGAGGCTAGAGCTAATGGGCCAATCAGCTTATAATTTATGGAGAACTATGTGTGATTTTCTTTGGGGCTAAACAGTTGTGGGTTAAAGGGTGGGACAGAAACCCCAACAACAAGCAGGCCCCCGATTGTGTTACAGAGGATGAATAGATAGTCTTATCCAAATATAATCCACATTAACCACAACAATGCCTGTACTTGCAAGATATCCCCAATTGATATGAGATTCTTCTCTGTATGCTATTAATATGTCTTATTGGGTTTCTCTGTAACTTTGGAGCCTGTCCTGAAATCTGCTGTACAGCCCAAACTGGCTTCAAACTCATGATCCTCCTGCCTCAGCCTCCTTCAGTAAATTCTACTAGAATGCACCACCACAACCAGCTATGGGATGGCTGAAAAGGCCTGGTTAGTTCATTCAGTACAGGATGAAACTCTTAATCTCAGGGTTGTGGTCTTGAGCCCCACATTAGTCACCATTTGTAGAAAGAGACTGCACTTTTGTTTTCTAGCTGCTCAGATCCAAATAATCACATAATATATTAATATAGAAACTATATTCATTACACCACTCCTTCGCTGATAGCTCAGGGATATTTCTAGCTAGCTCTTATGTCTTAAATTAACCCATTTCTATTAATCTGTGTATTGCTTACCAGTAAGATTTTGGTGTCTTTCTCCTTTGGCAGCTACATGATGTTCCCCTGACTCCACCTTTATTCTCCCTGCATTCAGTTTACTTTTCTGGCCTACCTATATTTTGCCCTGCCACAGGCCAAAATAGCTTCTTTATTAACCAATGGTAATAAAACATATTCATAGCATAAAGAGGGCAATCCCACATCACCCAGTGGTGCGATTGGACTAAAGGCATGCTCAACAGTAAGTAATTAATGCCTAGTACTATAAACCTAGCTAACTATCTATGCCTGGAGATGACATAGAGCATGAAAGAGATCCTAGTACTGTCATTTTTCTAAACTAATATAAATCCTAACCCTATTATAAATAGTTGTCTTTAAATTCACAGAGGAATGTAACTGTAACCCTTCCTTCATCCAAGAAGCTTCTTTTGCCACAGATGGAGACTCTTATAAAGATCTACAACTTGTCAAAATATAGAGAATATGGTCTGCTGGTTCTTAATTCTAACTGTAACATTGGTAATGACAACCATACACATGAAAAGCTCAAAGGACTTTATCGAAAAGGGGTCTGAAAAGGTGTAAGATCCAGAATCCCCGGATGCCTGATGCTATCCCAAACATAACATGGAAAATGTACACCTGAAATTTCACAATGTGGTTTAATGATATTGTGAGTTGACATGGTATTGTGGACAGCAGAAATACCACATCAACCCACACCTAGAAGAAGTGGTACAAGTGGTTTCTCAATGACGGGTGAGAGAGGTAGAATCATTTTTTTGCCAAGGTGATCTTCAATCCCATGTAGGTAATCCTGCACACATGGAGTTGCAAGCAATGTTAAATGGTTTCTCTCCCCCACCCCGTGTGTGTGTGTGTGTGTGTGTGTGTGTGTGTGTAGTGTGTAATAATGTTTAATGAGTCTACTGAGTGAGGGGCCTATGGACTTAACTCAAGGAAAAGGGCTGGATGGGGATGATGTAGATAGTAGTTCTCAAAAATAAAAAACAAAATGCCCCAAAGTGTTAAAAAAAAAAAGTAAAGGAAAAAAATATAAGATTTTTTATAGGTATCTCATAGGCGGTCTTCTTTGTGAGAAAGCCTATGAGAATTTGTATTTGGGGTTCTTGTCCATCATGTTGGATACTTTTTTTTTTCTGTTTTGACTATCTTTAATTTATTAGTGAGGGCTGGATTTAGTAATTTATTTCCCAAGAAGAGAATACCAGAAGTAAAACTGGTATTTTACTTCTCATGGCAGAAAAACTGGTGAAGAATATTAGAATTTTGATGTAATAAGTGTTACCTGACCCCATGAGATTGATTAATGATTATTCACAAGGCCTACAATGAAAGCCAGAACATGAAAAATATTAAAAACCCAAACGGATAAATTCCACAAAATCCCTAATCCTCACTTTAAAAACTCCCAGGATCAGGGGCTAGAAAGGTGGCTTCTTGCTAATGTGCTTCTCTTGCAATCAGAGGAATGTGAGTTTGCATCCTAATGTTCTGTATAACAAGCCAGGAACATGTGTGCCTGCAATCCTAGTGCTGGCGAGGAGACAGGAGTATTCCCAAGGCTTGCAGGCTAGCCAGTCTAGCCAAGTTGGCGAGTTATAAGTTCGACTGAGAAAGACTATCTTGAAAAAATTAAGGAGGAGAGTAATTGGGGAAGAAGCCAGAGTAGACTTTTGGCCTCTCCATGTATGTGCGCTCTCTCTCTCTCTCTCTCTCTCTCTCTCTCTCTCTCTCTCTCTCATAAAAAAAGGAGAAACTGATAAACTGTCAACCTGAAGGAGTTGACCTTAAGGGCTCCTGAGACAGGAAAAGACTGTAAGGGGAAAATGGGAAACTGTTGAAATCTGAATTCAGTTTATTACAGCATGTAGGCATATTGATTTCTCAGTTTTGATAAACATTTGGAAGCATGGTGAGAACATTAATAGCTGCTGCCTACACTAAAATTGAAGGACTTTGCCTATGCAGTCAGTGTTAGGACTATGTGATGTAAGGATAACCCCATCAACAACAATAAGAAAATCCATGTCTAATACACCTTGCCTATGCTGATTTTCTGGTGGTGCAGTAATATTACATGTCCATTTTCTAAATCAAGTAACACCGGCTCAGTGTAGACTTGAATTTACACAACATTGAAATTTTCTTTTTTATGTTTTTTTTCTTTCTTTTTTATTATTTATTTATTTATTAAAGATTTCTGTCTCCTCCCTGCCACCGCCTCCCATTTCTCCCCTCCCTCCCCCCATCAACTCCCCCTCTCTCCTCAGCCCAAAGAGCAGTCAGGGTTCCTTGCCCTGTGGGGAGTCCAAGGACCTCCCACTTCCTTCCAGGTCTAGTAAGGTGAACATCCAAACAGCCTAGGCTCCCACAAAGCCAGTACATGCAGTAGGATCAAAACCCCGTGCCATTGTTCCTGACTTCTCAGCAGTCCTCATTGTCCACTATGTTCAGCGAGTCCGGTTTTATCCCATGGTTTTTCAGACCCGGGCCAGCTGGCCTTGGTGAGCTCCTGATAGAACATTCCCATTGTCTCAGTTTAGTTGCAATAAAAACTCCATTAAGGGCTAACACCTTAAAGATTACGACTGAGCTAGGTTTCTGTTTCTTTTCATTTCTCTTCTTCCCATTTCAGACAACCGTTAACACTCTGATTTATTAATGATTGGTTCTCAATAGAAGTAAAATAGTGTAACTATCATAGATTGTGAATTTATAAAACCATTGTACTTAAGAGCCCTTGGATCATATCCATTTCTTTTGCTCTGTCTGGTCCCACCTTCATACACTTCTAAAGTTCATGTTTAAGTCATGTGGACAAGAAACTTACTACACTGCTTCTCTTTATACATTTGTTGCACTGTTATTTTATTTATATTTTAAAAAATCTTAACCGTAATAACTGTACCAGTGGCTTTTTAAAAAGAAGAGCATGCTCATCTCGCTGTTTTATTTTAATTAAGAATCACCAATACTTGAAGATGAAATTTAAAATATTGATAACCACTCTCTCTTCCTTTACACTGTTCATCAGTTCCCAACAGCATAAATCTGAAAGTAAAGCCTGTTTAGGCTTCCATCTTGCCAGTTAACCTAAATATGTACTTAAGGGCGAAACTCAATAAAGCGTCCTCCTCAGAAGAAGGATGCAGGCTAAGAGCTCTTCCGCGGACACATAGACACATTTCCATAGGAGAATGGCTATTTAAAGGCAGTTGGAAGCTCATTTGTCCTAAAAGTGTGGTCTTCTTCGCGGATGGACTGAAGAGCCTGAGGAGCTATCCCTGTGTTCTACTGCCACCTTGGCAAATCAGAAGGATTTACAACGGAATTCTTCACGCGGAGGTCTGGAAGCTGCTTGCTTGGCCTCTCAGGACTGCAGGGCTCAGACAGGCATTTGGAGTGACTGCTGTTCACATTGGCTTGGATGTGTTGCCGGGCGGGGGAAGGCGGTAGGACGTTGGCATCTATTCTGTGAAAAAGCTTGTTTCCTTTTAGAAACATTCCGGCTTCAGCAAGATCTACTTGTAACTCTCAGAGCTCTCTCTAATGGCTTCCTGCTTCTTTAGTGCAGAACAGAGCCTGAAAAAGCGATGCTGTCCTTGCGCTGATCTGGGTTTGCGCTCAGATCAGTCTTGGCTCATTTTAGTGGGAAGGCTGCAGTAGAGGCGCCTCAGAACGATTTTCTCGGGACTAAGTTTCTTTTCAGGGTCAGCGAGATGGTTCTCTGCTATTTCAGTTAACTTCCTGGAAGTTCTGAATGCAGTGCATCTGCAAAGCTGTTTACTAAATCCAAGCAGGAGTTCATTATCTGTTTAACCTGTTCCAGGGGTCAAATCGCCCTTAAAACTGACCTGCTGTTTCAAGTCCCCCTCCCCCGCTTTTTATTTCCCTTTTCTTGCCTAGTTTATGTTTTGCAATCACATATTAATCTCATTTTTTCTTCTCCACTGGTTCTTCAGGTGTCTTAATCTTTCTTACTTAAGTGATGTCATTGAGTTTACACTGGCCTCAGATGGATAGGTGGGAAGCGGCTGTCCTTGTGGTTTCTTTTAAATTTGCCTGGAGTGGGTGTGTACCCTCCTCCATTCCTTTCGCACTGCACTTGGAATTCTGTTAAGAGTTAGAACTAGATCAGAGATTTCCACGTCTTCAAAGCGCAGCTGGGAAAGGAAATGATACCAGGGGCGGCGGGGGGGGGGCAGAAGTAAAGGAATAAAAACCAACTTTTCTGGCAACTTCAATAAATCCGGTAACTGGAGGTAAAAAATAGATTGTGAGGGCTGGGTCTGGTCCGGATGAAACGCTAGGCTCCTTCCCAATTCCTGAGTCTGGCTCGGAAAGAGCGCCACTGGCATCTTGCCACGCGAGTGCCCCTAGACAGCCACACGCCCACTGGAACAGCACGTGAACAAAGCTTTTGCCCGGAGAGCCACCGCCTGCGGTTTCTCAGTGCAATCTAGCTTCTATCCGGAGTGTAGGGTGAATACAGGGTTAAGCTAGTTCCCTCCTCGGCAGGAGGGAAAGGAGGGGGTGGGGAAACGAAGCGCAGGGTACCGTGCAGTTAGCTGTACAGTTGAAAGCGGTAGCCATCACTTGTGAGTTTGGCGTCATCCATTGTCACAACCTAGGAATGTGCGCTGGGAGATAACACCAAGTGCAGGGCCTCTCAAACACGCAGAGCTCGCTCTGCTTCCAGGTGCGCTCCTTTCTGGTCCTCCGTCTCGAGTTTCCAGCAGCTGGAGACAGCACGTCTGAAACCGTCACGGCGTCCACGGAGCCTCAGGACCAGGGTGGAAGTTCTCAACGATGGGCAGGAGGGACCTCGGCGGCGACCCCTAAAACAATACCATGCCCGGGGAGTCCCTCTGCTGCCGCTGTGCCAGTTTCTTCCCTTTCCACCTCCCCGACCCAGTCGAATTCGGATGAGCTAAGGAGACAAGGCCACCAGGTAAAGGGGCTGCAAAGCCAGGTGAAGTTTCTCGTGGTTGCCCTAGCTTTTCTTAGGTGGGCACCACGCTCTCTGGGAAAACTGATTGCTTTCCCCTTTTTGAACAAGTGGTGGATGGTCATCGGGTGGGAGTTCTCAGTATTGTCTCTTTACATTCCCAAAGAATATAGGCTTTTTTTTCCCCCTCTCTCTCTTTCTATCCTGACTTGAGGATGCTCTCAAGTCGAATCCACCTCCTCTACGGAGTTTTGTGACTGAGTTGTGGGGTAAAAACAAATGCTCCCTTGCTGCCTGCCAGAAACATCGATCCTAAATGGAGTTTTCCAAATACCCCATGTTTTCGAACTCCAGCCTCCCATTTCCACTAGAATGATTCTCTTAAGTCTGGTAAGTAGCAACCTCCCCTACCGTCCGTGTTGAATCCCAGAAGTGTTATTTGTATCTGAAGCCTCTACCCGCCCTGTGCCCCAAATCCGGGATTAATTAGCTACTAAACTGAGGATGCTAGTTTGTTTTCTTTCCGAACGAGTGCGATTTTTCCAAACCAAGGACCCTTCCTGCTCTGCTCCTACACTGGGGACTGGCAGTTCCAGGGTTGGTGTAATTGCGCTTTCCTGACTCACCGGCGGGGGATGGAGAAGTCCCCCGGAACTCTATAATCACTTTCCCTGCGCCGCGTGCCTGGGACGCAGATCTGGGTCCTTTTATTCCCCCCCCCCCCCCGCGCTGAACGCAAGGCCGATCAGACGCCCAGGGCAGTAAGGGCAAGGACCCATCAAGCTGCCCTGGAGTCCCCACCAGACTAGGGACCTCCTGGAACGATTCCTCTGCTAAGCTACCAGTCCAGGGTTCTTCCTGGAGCTTTCAGCGCCGCCGCGAATCACTTCTGTTTTGCAAACCCTCCACAATGAAGGGTAGGAGCTAGCTAAGGTCTCTGCACTAATCAGGGAAGGGAACATTTAGAAAAGAGCCTGTCTGTCTTGAAAGGACTGGTTCCAAACTTGCTGTTTGGATAAATCATCTTGCCTGCTGGGGGGCTTGAGCAGGAGCAGTTGCTGCAGAAGGGTACCGCAATCGCCACTGTCGTCTTGGCGCTTCTCTTCCGAAGCTTCCAAGATGACTCTCACTATTTGTTCTCCTTAGATTAGAGTCTCCATTCGTGCCCCCATTCTCTCCTGGGTATTTCTCGGTTACACTTCGAGTTTGGAAAAAAAAAAGACAGGCTATGCATATGTGTTTTCTAGTCGCCTTGGTATCTATCTATACAGGACAAGTGTAGCAAGCTCTCTTGTACCTCAGCGGTGTGTGTCCAAGTGTGTGAGTGCCTGTGTTGCGGTGCGTTTGGGTGGATCCTTATGTGGCCTGGGAGACAAATCGGGCGTATCTCCAAGTCGTCTCACCAGGATTTAAGCGCTCAAATCCATGAAGGTAGCAGACACAACAGCGATGCAAGGAAATAAAAACAATTGGGGAAGTGGTGCCAAGTGACTCAGACTTTGAACTGAGGACAAGGAGTGCGGTCGCGCCTGGGGTTCGTCCGGAAATCATCTCCAGCGTGTTACAGGCAACGCCCTTGCCAAAGTCGTCAGCCCAGAACGCTGAGAAGATCCCAAGGGAGTTGGTCCAGGGCGAGCTTTCCACTTGCAAATTGCCTTTCCTGGGGCCCTACCCACAGCGCGCCTCACTGCAGCCTTAAGCTCGGTGCGTGCTTGTTCTCCCCTTTCTGTTAGTTTTCTCCGGGTCTACAGACTAGTTTAAACACGATCCCAACTGGCTGGAGACTTATGGGCAACAATGAATGGAAGAGCAAACCAGGCGACCATCCCTTTGCCAAAAAGAGACGGGGAAAAATATAAAATAAAATGAAAGAGATATGTCTCAGCTTTCTTAGATTACTTTTTAACCTTTGCAAAGAGAATCCCAAGTGGGAAAGGTGTGCCAACTGGACATTTTAACCACGTAGCCTGTTTTCAGTCTTTGAAGCGGACCTTGTTGGTGGCCCATTGTAATTTCTAGAGACAGCTCATCTACTGATCATCACTCTTTCCAGGAGTAGCCAGGGTGATAGAGGAAAATGGATGTGTTTGTTTAAATACGATGCCAAACTCTAATTCCTCCAATTAAACTTTATGGAAGAAAGCTTGATGAGTAGATCTTTGATGGGCTGGGGGTGCGACACATCCCCAGTGTTCCCTGCCATTAAAATAACGCCATTTTGGTTGAGAGACTTGCTGTATTTTTACCCTCTAATGTTACATTTCGATCATTTCTGAGTCTAAGTAATAGCTCCTCTTGCGTGGACGTACATCGGGCGAACTACCGGTGGTTTCTTCACCGTTCTGAGAAACTGAGGGTAGGGAGGATGCCTGAGGCAGAGAGAGGGAGAGGCGCGGTGCTAGGTCAAGTTGGCATTCCTGGGTTAGCCGGGTGCACGTAATTCCCTCCAGGGAGGACAGGGTTAAAAGCCCCATCTGACTTTGCCTCTTGGAAAGCTTAGGGTTGCTGCAGCTCCTCCCAAGCATTCTTTAAACCAGAGAAGTGGGAGGGACTCGGCTTGGGAGGGAGGAGAAGAGGGAGGCCAAGAAAGAGGGCTCGAAGAGGGGAGCGCGCCGGAGCACGAGGGACCGAGGGAGAGGAGGGGCGTGCAAGCTGCAAAGCCGACCCCGCGAATTCATTACAGTAAACATCTCCCGGGGGTGTCAGGAGGGGTGGGGGTGGGGACCTCAGCATCTACATTAGCGGACCCGGTCCGATCAAGGCAGCAGTGTGGCTGGAGCAGCCTCTAGACTCGCGCCCCGCAGACGCTGCACTTGGAGTCAGCCCCGCGCCCGCCCCCGCGCAGCCCGAACTGCTCGCCTTGCTGCGCGTGGTCCGCACAGTCGCTGCGACCGAACGCCCGCCCAGTTCTCCCGCCGACTCCTGTGGTCCTCGGTCTCGGAGAAGTCCCGAACTCGACCGGGACGCTCTCCACCGCCCTCCTAATCCGCCCTACTTTATTCGGGGTACGAGGCGGAGAGGGGGGAGACGGAAGAAGAGAGGAGAGGAGACGCGGAGCTGTGGCAGCCGGAGCCTAGATAGTGGCATGCTGGACCCCTGGAGGCGGAGGTGGCGGAGGACGGGGGAAGACGATGCAGCGGCTCCGTAGGGGACGTAGGCGACTACAGGCAAGGCGAGCAGGGCGCTTGGGCGCCGGCAAGCTGCCGGGAGGCGCGCACGGCTCTGAGGCTCTGGCCTCAGCTTCCCGGAGCTCCGACACAGCCAGAGACGTAGCTGGATTGCAGCAGCCACCGCCGCCACCTGGAGGACCCAGCAAAAGTTTGGATCTGGGGGAGGGCGTTGCGCTGAGCGGGATTACCCCCGGGGCTGGAGAGAGACCTGGAAAACCTTAGCAGGTAAATGCGCACCCTTAACCGTGTCCCCCCCCCCCCCCGGGCTTTGCATCCTTTAGGTTTGACTCAAAGTAACACTGGGGGCCAAGTTCAAGGTCCCAGAAATGGGTTTCCAGCGCTGGCAGTCATGTTAGCTGGGGGTGGGAATGGGAGCCTGTGGCGGCGGGGGTGGGAGGTGTCTTGGTGTTTCTTCCTGCCAGATAGGCAGCTGTGTAAATCGACCCCCCACTCTCAGTGGAGGAGAACCCTGGGCCCCAGCTGGTGTCTGATTCTGTATAGTTTGGAAATTTAGAAAGTGTATTCAAGGACTTTTAAGTGTGCCTGGATCCACAGAAATGATTGATGGATTTCATTCACCCCATTCTCTCAGTCCTGTTTCATATAAAAAGAAAGGAAGCTTACTTTTGCCTGCCTGCGTCTGGCAGCCTTCTCTGAATCTTAGATTTAGAGAGGGATATGAATATTAAAATCAAAGTTGAAAAAAACATCTCTCCCCCGCCCGACCCTTTGACATCCTCGGAGTCTTCCCTAATTTCATTCATCTTCTGCTGTCATAAAATATGAACTATAAAAGTCACATTTTCATTGAAGGACAATATAAAAATGGGCTAATACGTTAGCCTTTGGAGTTCTAAATTTGATCAGGGTGTGTATAGTAGGGGAAAGAGAGGAGGGATGGATATGGAAGTGCGTGGTATGTTCCACAGCCTGTGGTTAGTGATGTTACAGAGAGCCCCCCCCTTCTTTGGTTTGATGCTCAGTGGTGTGGGTGAACTGAGAATGGCTTCATGTGGACGAGGAGGCTAGGGTACCAGAGGGAAGACACTCACAGTTCTGAACAGCAGCTCCCCGCACTTCAGCTAATAAAACAGCTTTTGCTTGCTGCCAGGGCAGAAAAGATTGAGCAGCACCACCCCTTAAGACACTATATAGAGTTTTGAAGCAGCTCCTGGGGGCCCTGGTATCATTTTTATTATGATGATCACTATTAATTCTGCTGGAACCTCCTAGGACATTCTCTGAATGAAAAATCATCTCTCTGAGAGCTTGTGATTAGTTCTAATAGAGGGACTCTCCCGTTAAGCTAACAGTAAACTAATCAAGTAAATGCAAGGCGAAAATCCCTGTAAATGCAGGCAAATGCTTCTCCAGGGGTGCCAGGTGCCTATCAGATTTCTTTGCATGCTGTGTCTGCTGTGCATTGCCTCTTGTAAATGGGAACCTTTGCTCCCTATTCAACTGGGAGGCTACTTAAATCACACAGGGCTCCAGTGAGCTCCAGAGCATGTCCACTCGTTTACAGGATTATTGCTAAATTTATTATGCCTAACTTTCCCCCAGTCCAAAGCTAATATATGAAGGATGGCTTCCGTATCAGAGTGGGATCCTCTCTAGTCCTACCTGCTATGACCTTATTAAATAAGCCAAGAAGCATCTCCCCCAAAATTGGGAGATAAATAGGATGCCAGGTTGGCATTTATCCAATGCTTTATTTGATTGTTGCCGTATGGATATGCATTTTCAGGTCAGAATCTGAAATGCTGGAACTGGATTATGTCTTTTAAATCATCAAGGATATTTACCAGATACATCTGGTTTGGCTGACCACCA